GTAAATCGTAAGCCGTAAGAAATTGACCAGTCACAATCGAATATGAGAAGAATAATCGACTGTGATTGGTTAATTTCTTACGGCTTACGACTTACTACTCTCATTGTAGATGGACCTTAAGTGTTAGGCATAGTTGTAATATTGACCAATCACAATCGAAGAATATTTGACTGTGAATATTTGAACCGGGTTTTATTTCCATTGTAAACGACTCTTAAAAAGTGTCAAAGGAATGTCTACTGAAACATCTTGACAGTTGACATTAAATGTGAGGATTTAATAAGTGTAGCTAATATTAAATCTCCCGTTTTTAAGTGATTTAAACATGCCGTGCTGGTATTATGAAAAGAAAGAACTTCGCAACACACCGTCTATTCAGGATGGTATCGATTACGAAACAGAATGTAGATATCGAAAAGAAGGCGCACGTTTTATAATAGATACTGGTACAAAAATGGATTTAGGTTATAACACAATGGCAACGGGTGTTGTTTATTTTCATCGATTCTACATGTTTCATTCGTTCAAAAATTTTCCACGATATGTAAGTGCATTTAAGTGCGCATATATGTATATATATTTAGTATATTATGACTATATAAATTAATTACGTGTGTCAACATTTGTGTGCATTAAGATATAGTATATGTCTCGGAGTCTCAAGAGTGACATTATTATCTCTGATCTATATCTAGGTAACGGCTTGCTGTTGTTTACTCTTAGCTGGCAAAGTTGAAGAAACTCCAAAGAAATGTAAGGACATCATAAGGACTGCCAAAACTTTAGTATCGGAACAAAAATTTATGACGTTTGGAGAAGATCCCAAAGTAAATTATTCATTTTATCCTGAAGAGATGTTTCAATGTGTAACATTTGTACCTACATCAAGTTTTTTTTTTTCTTTTCAGGAAGAAGTTTTGATCTTGGAGAGAATTTTATTGCAAACTATTAAATTTGATTTGCAAGTGGAGCATCCATATAGTTATTTACTAAAATATGCAAAGTGTTTGAAAGGTAATTTAAATGTTGCATTTATTGTAAAATTATATAGAACATTATTACTAGATGTTTTATCGAAATGTATAGATGTTTTTAAAGAAAATTTTGTTCTATTTATAGGTGATAAAAACAAGCTACAAAAGATGGTACAAATGGCCTGGACATTTGTTAATGATAGGTATATGAATATATAAAGCAATAATAAAAATATTATTGATTGCATTGCATTGCACCTGTTATCCTACGTATTGATATTTTGTATTAACAAGATCGTATTGTATTGTTTTGCTTTTAGTTTATGTACCACTTTGTCGCTACAATGGGAACCAGAGATAATAGCTGTTGCTCTAATGTACTTGGCAGGAAAGCTAAGCAAATTTGAAGTAGTAGATTGGGTTGGAAGACAACCGAAACATTTACGATGGTGGGATATGTTTGTTGAGGATGTTACTATGGATCTTTTAGAAGGTAATCTTGTACCATTTCTATTTTAGTGTTTTTGCTATTGTCTGTTATTACAGATCATTTATAATGTCTAGTATGTTAAACATTTCTAGATATTTGTCATCAGGTATTGGATTTATACTCGCAAGCGAATAATGCAAAACCACCAGATTCACCACCTATGATACCATCCAGCGAAGTGTGCAGAGAACGATCCGTTACTGCTACTACTACAGAATCTGCATCTAATACACCAAATGGTAAGTAACATTCACAAATGTATCGATTGCATTATTAAAAGTGTATGATAATGGCTGCGTTTACTTTGGCGTTTACAGCTTTCGTAACATCACTTTATCCTTGTTGTTTATTAAATATTAAATAAGGACAAATCATGCTTACAAGTAAGCTGTAAGCACAAACCGAACGCAGTCTTTGTGTGTGTGCGTGCGCGTGCGTAACAGAGCATATATTAAGCACTATAAAATAGTAAGGAATGTAACGAATATTACAGTTACGCCTGGAAAGTCTTCTAAAAGCATTGAAGCATCGACAGTTTCTGCAAATGGATGTCCAGCTACAGACATGGCAGATACAATAAAACCAATAGACACCTCAACAGCACATTTTCCCACATACTCGACGAATTTTGCATCTAACAATACAAACTATCCACCGGCGTTTCCACCTACAAATGTTTCGGTTCCTCCTCCTCCTCCTGTGAATACAATGAATCATATCGTACCAACGATACATCACATTGGATCGTCCGCTGCTATTCGTCCTACTCCACCATCAGCACCGACTACTAATCAAGCAGCTTTTCAACCATATTCCTATCCAACAAACGCGTCGTATTTTTCAGCAAATAATCCAATTCAGCCACCAGCCGCGCCGCCACGTAGTTATTATCCACCGCAACCATAATGAAAAACAATGTATTGCGCGCGTTCAATGTAAACTGTATGAGCGTCATTATCTTGATTAAATTTCAGAATAGTGAAGACGTTACTAATTTAATTTTGTGCGTACTTTTATATCTGTACTTTTATATTTGCGCTCTTATCAACAGTATACGATTGTAAACTTTTTTTGTATAAATGAAACGATTTCTTCCTCTTTTCTTTCCTCATAACTTTCAATATGTAACGAAACAGAGGAGAATTAGCATGATCGGTTTATATTTATATTTAACTTATCGGTTCAGATATCGATCACAAAAGGAACAATAATATAAAACGTCTCACATGTAAAGATTTCCTTTACTAAAAGAATTTTCTGCAAATTTGGGTTGCTGTAATTTACAGGGTATTTCATCAGTTAAAACTTGTAAGATCGGTTCTGCGCATTTGGAATCCAATATGAAACTGTCGATATATAATATGTATAACTTGGCTGGTGCGCCAATGAGTTCGGCAAGAGATAAGACTGAAACAAATAAATAATGATGTTGATTCTATCGCACATTGATTTTTGTACGACATCCTTTGTATACATGTGGTACACGCAGCTCAAGTACGCTATGTGTAATGCGAATAAATACCAACCTCCTGCGCCAACTCCAAATACAATATTTGGTTGTTCCAATAGTTTAATCCCACATTTTGTGATATTCGCCGTTTTGGTTGCCAGTATTCTTAAAAACGAAGCAGTCTCTGGGACATTCATACTCTGGAACTGTGATATATGACGACACACTATTGAAATTATACTCTCTGAACTTGTTAACAAATCATATATCTGTAAAGGTAAATACATATTCCTTAGATTTATTAATTTACATGTTGATTTATATGTCGAAAGATAAAAGCACTTTTAAGTATATAACATCAGGTTTATGTTACATATATGATATAGCGCTTAAAAGCGCTTTATCGATAAAAATGTGTTTTGAATAAAAGACAGGCCGAACGATATGAACGTTATAGAATGTTAATCAATACATACCTGGTTTACAAATTCTCCAGTATTTTTTGTGTCAAACTGTGATAAAATTATACATATGTATATTTGTTTGTCAATTTGATAAATGGCTGAAACTTTTTTACGATTTTCATTTTCTATAACGCATGCTTCTTTCATTTTAGAACACAAACATTGTTCTACAAACGCTAAAATATAAAACAATCGGTTTTTAATTTAATAATATAACAAGAGTTGGTATATGGTTTAGTAAAAGTATTAATATTACGAATTAATGGATCTCCTTCCATTACGATCAACTTTTGCATAAATTCTGGTTTTGTTTTCAACCAGCGAACGTACAGCTTGCTGAAATGAAATCAGGAGATCACTTTTGGATTATTACACGCATAAATGAGTAATGAGTGAGTTAAAGAATAATCGAAAAATTATAATGCATTGACATGCATTGTAATTTTAACTCACGGAGAATGTTCTATATAATCAGCTGATTCGTATTCGTCTTCATCATCCCAAAATGCTCGCGATGATGGAAATATTATTTCTCCAAAGTGACTAACCATATTTTAATTCAACCGTGGAAATCTCCTAAATTGTGTGTATCGATTCTTTCCTTACGAAACAATTAACTATTAATCGTATCGACCGACGATGATGTGTTGAAATTAAAATAATTAAATCGCGGCGTCAGCGTTCTCTACCATAAACCACGTATATATATGAGTGCATTCACTAATGCTGGATGTGCGGCAACGCTTGCCGCGCCGCGCGGCGGAAGTTGTAGCCAATCAATTTACCGATTTTCTCTTTTGCTCTTAAGAGAATAGCGATAAATTGATTGGCTATAACTTCCGCCGCGTCGCGCGGCAAGCGGTGCACTGTGCATCCAGCATTTAAAGCATTGAAATATAATACGTGCCAATTAAGATTCTCTTTTCAATTTTCAGCTTTGATTTGAAGCTGTATGCCGAATAATTAATATATTATACACATTCATGTATAATCACTCAATTATCTATAATCGCAGCATTATTAAGAACGAATAGGAAACGATGAGGTACGTGATATATATTTTGCGATCCATTTATTAAAAATATGCAGTAACTTCACATCGTGTATTCCATTACTTTCAGTTAGAGTAGAATATGACACAATAATATAATATTGTCCTCTATCTACGCAGGCTGTCCTCGAGGCGCTTCTAGCACATAACTTTCAAAATATACATTATCCTGTGTTCATCGTTTACAAAAGATTCATTCTCTCTCGGTAATTTTGAATTTCTAACTAGAATCATAGACTTTCCTTCTAAGATATTTTTATTCTTTTGGTCAGTTATTCAGAAATGTGCTGCAAACTCTTAACGCAAGAATTTATATCAAGATCAATTAGCGACATATATGGCACAACCACACGCGTTGACGAGTATCACGTGGTTTACGTGGTATAGAGATATATTCTTCTTAATTAAATTGAAGAGACTTGTACTTGTTTGCAATGTAACATAAACAACACGAAACACAGTGTCAATCGCGACAATAAATTCACATAGAATGCATATGCTATACACTACGTACATAGCGGTTTACAATTATTTTAAGGTATTCATTATTCAAAGTATCAAAGTATCTTTAAATATCACTCGAGGTAAAATTGATTTCAAAGTAAAAAATTATATATATATATATATATATAGAGAGAGAGAGAGAGAGAGAGAGAGAGAGAGAGCACAAAGTGCAACTTATGTATATCAGTATAGTTTTTATACACAAAGATTTTTAATCACGTGAAACATGTTGCATATCAAAGAAGGTATAAGCTAAAGTTTATATATATATATATATATGTGTGTATGTATATGTATATATACATATATATAAAATAAACACGCGCGACAAGCTCAGAATGCAAACTTTGGCAAATTCTAATGTATATCGGTATAATTTTTACACAGAAAAATTCAATTATCAAAAATCTATTTTATTGCTCGACACACACACACAAAATTTATTGCGGCGTTAGAATAATGTTGAGTTTAATATGTGCAGATTGTAGCAAAATTATATCAAGTTTCACGTAAAAAAGAGAATTTGTTGGTGAAACAATTGGCAATTGCAACTTTTTTCAATATCTTCCGTAATATAACTTATACGTTTTTACGAAACACACTTTTAAATAATTTTTATTTTAAACTGACTTATCTATAATACACATTTAAAGACCATAATTAAAATGACAAAAAATTGTATTTAAACTACAACGGTACATTTGCTTTTATATTTTTCGTTGTTGTGTATATATAATATGATTATTTCTTTGGAAAACTTTAATATAACTGAAAAAAAATATATATATAGGTATATATATATTGCAAAAAGTGTTTAAAGAAAATTAATACAATACAAATATCTATTTTTTAGAAAGAAAAACGGTACACGAAAAATGAAATATGGTCCATTAAACGTCCTGCATTTTGCATTAAACATTTTTCGAGTTCGCGACAAGTTGATTTCTCTCTCTTTCTCTCTCTCACGCACGCGATGAATGTAATTCTACTACAACTGACTAAAAACGGCAACGCTTTTGCTAATAAGAGAACGGCGATAGAAGGTTTTTACAAAAAATGTGCACTCTTCGATACACGATATATATGGTCGTGGCGATTTTGAGAAAAAGAGAAAAAAAAATAGGAAATGTGTTACAAACACATACATTTATCATTCACAAAGGATGGAATTAGCTGAACTAGTAGATACTATAGAAAATCGAATCGCTCTTGTGCTTTGGCTATATACAAAAAAAAAAGTAAATCGAGCACAATCGTAGAGTATAGGTAGAAGCGATACATTCAAATCGAGCATAATTGTATTTAATTTTCAAAGTACTACATAATAGAGCACTATACCATACAGAACACATTGTGCATCACCGCAAAAAATTTTTCGTGATTTGTTTTAATATTAAAGAAAATTCAAATAGAGTATCTTTCGCATAAATACCAAACAAATGGCTCAACATGGCCTAATATCCATTGTCCACATTGCATAAATGCAATTTGATTTAACTAGACTCAAACGACGAACACGATCTTTCTCTTAGCTTAACAAGGGCACGGTTAATGCGAAACGTCCTCACGATTGTTATATAAGCGTTATTTTCTCTTTGTGGAAGAGAGAAAGATAAAAATAGATACAAGTATGTATTAGTAAAAGTACATCTCATCAATAAAATATATGTAAACAAGGTTAGTATGTGTTAGTATGTATTCAATCAATATTAACATTAATAATATGTAATCAATTAATATTAGATCAAAGACATCAATAAATGTTTTAACTGTCTATTAGGAATATTTTACTTAAAAGTATAGGTATCTCCTATCGACAGAAATCGGAATACTATGCATGGTTCATGTTATTGTAAAAAAAAAAAAAAAAAAAAACCAGATTGGACGCCTCGCAAGAATCTGATTCTGGCACGATGATAATTATCGTCGATTATAATATAAGCCGATCGGATTTGTCGAAAATTCGTAACTATTCTAAATTTGTATGTGTTTACATTGTATGTACTTTCTCGCATTGACTACTCATCGGAAAAGAAAGAGGTTTTACTTGCACTAAATTCTTAAAAAAATAGATTAATATCTTTTATAATAGTGATATTTCTTTCATTTCTCTGAGATTACAGAAATATTTCATATTTTAATTTGACGCTTCAGAAACGATATCGATGCGAAAGATGCGTTTAGTTAATTTATGACAGCTATTAAAAATCGCAACTACATCTTAGGAGAAAAATTTCTGCTGGATGACACTAGAGTTTCAATCAAGTTTAGTCAAGTTATTGTTTCTTATTAAACTTTGGACAGGGAGGCTTTGACATTTCTTTTTGTACTGATCTCTATTGCATTAAGCGTTTTGGGAAGACCTTTCTGTTTAATAATCTTATATCTCTTGATTTTCCTTCTCAATAACAACAAATATTGATGAAGAAATATTACTTACATGTACACATTGAACATTTTTAATTGTGAAATGCTATTACTTATTATATAAAATAATATTATTAAATATACGTAAGCAATGTAAAAATAGTTGTACATACTTGAGTGATGAGAGACACAAGAACAAGTGATAAATGTGTCCGCTCTACATATGCTTTAGCATCTCATTTCTCACATTCTACGTAAATTTATAAGTCGCTTTAGTCATAAAATTGAAACACATAAGTATAGAATAAATCTAGAAATCTATAATACAATATAAGAAAAATATGTTTAACTTGCTTTTTAATTAAATTATCGTTTTTATAAAAACATTCAAGAAATAAATGAAGAAACGAGGTAATACGAGGCTATATATGTTAGTTAGATTCATAATTTGCGCATATACAGTAATCAATAAGTTACTGTAAAAAATAATATCGAACTTTTATTCAGATCATCCAGTTTTCTCTCCCAGGAAATCGATATCGTATAAATTGGCACTTGTTCAGCTTGAAATACCGTTTTTTCGTTTTAATGCTGTGAATCCGATGCGTGGTCAATCGAGAATATATCACGACGTAATGTATATTAAGCATTCTCTTTAAATTGCGCTCGCGTAGCGCGCTTTCCTCTTCTTTCTGTTTCACGATAATAGAAACTCTTTACGACTATTATACATACGTGACTAAATATATGTACAGCGATTACAGGTGGCGGCAAATCGCGCACGTACTGAAATCGCGTTAAACATCTATTCTTTTACTTTTTCTTTTTTCTTTTTGTTAAATCACTTAATTATGTTGAACACAATGATATCGAAACACTCTTAATCATGTGGATTATATTCAAACTTTGAGAATGTCTATATAGTGATTAGTGTGTGGCTGTATTCATTGTATTCTAACGAGTCAAATGGAATGCATAAATTGATTATTGATATTACATAAATAATGGTTTACGAAACTCGATAGAATCTCTCGTCGAGTAACTCAATTTGGTATTTTTTTCCTTAGCGTAAAATAAATTTATCATAATACAATAACCGTTATACAACCAAAAAGGGGATCAAGTGTATATATTGACGTATATTTAGTAAGCTGAAAATAAAGATAGAGAAAATTTTTTTATACAATATTCATTTTTCAATCATCAAGAAAAATGATATTAGATATGAAAAATTTATGTCTCTTCAGCGATCTTTGCCGCGATTGTTTTTCATTCCGAAAAAATGCACAATATTGATACTCGCATCTCTCAAAGTGTATTGTTGTTGCTTTTTCGCGATTACGATTAATTATCTCCTTGCATTTACTTTGTGTGAGCGATTGTTATTGCATTGCTTTGATAATTGTGTATTGAGGTTAATATAGTGTAATAGTAAAAATGAAGTACAAAACATTAAATAGCGTACACGCGAAGCGCTTGTTTGCTAGCATTTCTAAAATTGACCCTTTTTCGGTTGTATTATGAATTACAAGAATATATATATGGGTGTGTGTGTGTGTGTAATACACACGCACACACACTTTAAAATCTATCAAAACAAAAGTATTTATTATAATTCGTCGCAAAATATTTTAGAAAATATAGTTGTGGAAGAAGAGCAAAATGGATTTTTGACACGGCAGTGATTTATTAGGCTTATTTTCCATTTCAAGTATTCAATTGTTATCAATTTTGTGTACCGTAATTAGGAGTTTCAAGTATATGAACTCATTCGATGTCAGTGATTTTCTTTTCTTATCGTTCTTCCAATTTGCTTGGTGCGGTAACAAATAGTTCCCTGATACGCAGTAAAATGCATGCAATGCTACTTGATAAAGATTTATATCTATAGAAATGAACGAACATTAAAATATTCCCTATCTTTCTGATAAATAAAACTCTGTATATCTTTTACACCGTGTAAATTTCGCGTCACTTTATGCATTCCAGTAGCAAGTAGTAGTTGTATTTGCATTACATTCTTAATCGTTTCTATCTTAGGCACGGCCACGGGCAGTGCTTCTTTTTACAAATTTCGAAAACGATCAATATTTATAATTGAAAAAATAAAATATATCGAAACCTTTGGAGAGGATTGTCGCATTTTTGTGTGTGAATATATATCTTTCTCGTGTACCCAATTTGTAATTCAAAACTGCGTTAAATCGCTCGTCCCCTAAATCACGATTACACCATCGGCATCACACCAATAAAATGCAACATTATCGATGCACACGTACATATGTATCGTATTTAAGACAAGGAACGTGCGAGTACGACGCGAGCAACTCGAATGGCTTTATTCACACGACAAGGGATTAAAGAAAAAAAAATTCGCGGCGCTGCTTCGAATGGACTTGAGGTAGAGTAAAATTCGGGTAAGAAGAAAAAGCGGAGAGTGTGTCGTCGATAGATGACAGAATAGCAGAAAAACCTTTGGCAGTATAGATTTTGCCCCTTCTTCAAATCTATTCCAAATTTAATCGCCTGATCGCCGTCCCAGGATTCACATTGTTCGGCATTACTTTGCGCCTGGTATTTTTCCTAACACCTGCATATAGAACAACATTAGTTATATTAATGGACTACGAGAGGTAGTAGTTTTCACCAACTACTAACGCTTAACATCATTTGCTGTGAAACACGTTTCGCCGTGATTTGCTTGCTGACTTTAAGAGACAAATGGGAAAAGGGAGAAACGGGAGCTTTTAGCACAGACTTAGCTTTACAACTTACTTTGGAAAGGTCTACTCCAGTTAACGCTTGTACAGCTGGAGGTACTTGTCCAACGAGACGCGTAAGTTCTCCACTGGTCGCATCGCTTCCGCCGAGAAGTACAATTTCTTCCGTTCTCGCTAATGGTGCCGCGACTTCGGCTGCGATCTGTAGAAGGAGAGAGAAACGTCATTACATCATTACTACAATAACTATGTACATCTACGTTCTAACGGTAAGCGCGCGCATTAATAGTACAATACTATTAATGTGATATAATGTAAATGCAATGCAGTTTACATTACACGCATCGTTTACCTTCGGCAAGGCATTCAGAGTGATATTGAGTATCGCTGCATCGCCGTACTTTTTGTAAACCATTGCTTTCATTCGCATGCGTTCGGCCTCCGATATACCGACAGCTTCTAGAGCGTGAGCCTCGGCCTCTCCAATCAATCGAATTTTCTCAGCTTCGGCTTTTGCTGCACTTACAGTTTGAGTTCTGTAAATGGATGATATTGAAAAGAAAAACAAGTTATATATGTGTATCAAATAAAAATTACAAATTATATCTGCTGAATAAGCGTATTGCGCAAAAATTCCACCTTTTTCCCTCGGCGATTCTTCCCATTTTATAGAATTCAGCTTCGGCTGGTAATCGCACTGTGCTCTGGAGCTCATGCTCCTTTCGACGGACCTCCTGTTCCTCGACTTCGATTTGCTTGCGCCTTTCCACAACTTCTATCTGTATCTCCTCGTTTCGTATCCGCTGTTTTATCTTTGCCGCTTGAAGCTCGTAAGCTAATTGAGCCTCGGCTTTCTAAAGAAATAGAATAAAATAGATACGCGTGTGCACTCTGTAGTGACTTTATTGGAAATACCGCTTGCTCGTGTATTTCGCGAAGAATAAACTTACCGCTGTATTTACTTCTTGATCGAAATTAGCCTTTTGCAATTGGTACAGTCTCGCGTTGTCCTCTATCTTCGTGTCGGTATTATATTTTATGTCCATCGCCGACTTTTCGCATTCCGCTTCCTATTGCAAAACAAAGAAAAAATTAGAATATTGTAGAAGATTAACAAATTAACAAGTTGCAAACTATATAGAACGTCTTGCTGGTGATATCATCTTTCTCTCGGCAAATTGAAATTGATTTTTTCTTCCAACAAAAGTAAAGAAGAGTCGCTGTTTTGCTGCATTCTCGTTCTCATTCCTACACACACACACACACACACACACACACACACACACACACACACACACACTCTCTCTCTCTCTCTCTCTCTCTCTCTCTCTTCTTTTTATAAAATTAAATTCATAGTTTACTTGCTTACTGAAAAAGATACTTTTAAACATGATAATTATATTCAGAATGTAATTTTCGAAAACTTGTCATTTTCATGCGCCGCAACGTATACCGTAAATTTATATAAGACAAGACATACCCTAATGCCAGCATCTCGATTTGCCTCGGCGACGCCTACATCAGCATCTCTTTTAACGGCAGCCGTCTGAGCTTTTCCGAGCGATGTTAAATATTGAACTTCATCGTAAACATCCTTTATCGTGAACGAGAGGATCTCGATTCCCATGCGACCAACGTCCGGTGCGGCGACTTCTCGCACGAGAGCCGCAAATTGATCTCGATCCTTGTAGACTTCCTCCACGGAGAGCGTTCCTGAAGAAAAACGTTATTTCCTTCCAACGAGTCCATCAGAAAAGTATAAATTTTGGCTTAATTACTTATTTTTCGGACAACCATTTTCTTGTTAAATAAGATACAATTTAAAACGACAAAAAAAGACAAATAACAAGTATTTGGAACTTTTCTCATATCTCATATCTCATAAATTACGTATATTATACATTAGATATATTGTACATTAACAAAAAGATTACTTGTACCCGTTTAACATTTTTAATTTAATTAATTCGAAAGCTCTACGTAGAAATGTCAAAAGATACAATTGTGATTGTATTTATTAAAATTTTATATTACAAGTACGTAACCTGCTAATAGATTTAAATGAAAAGATACTAATTGACCGTCTTAACTATCGAGAGATAGTCTCAAGAAAGAAAATGGCAGCATATCATAATGTGCCTAATAATATCTGAAATAAAACGTACCTAGTATAGCTCGAAGATGACCCTCTAAAGTGGACAGAATCGTAGACCTGATCTCGTGAACGCTTTTCCCAAGAAATTGTTCACTGGCAGTGTGTAACAATTCATCGGCCTTCATGATTTTGCATTGTGCTACTCCGGTGACTGTTAACGGTACTCCTTGAGCCGTTTCCACGCTCTCGCACACTGGATTCAGCGTCATCACCTCTAGCGATAATCGCTGTACGTCGGTGACAAACCACCAAGTGAATGCGTATCCGCCGACGATGGTCCTCTTCCTCATGGAACCGCAGCATCCTCCTGTGGAACGTAAAGACGATTTATACTGACAATCAGATATTATCAATATTTGCGATATAATTTTCATCAATATTCAAGTTTTGTTATTGTCGAGTTGCTTTCGGATCAATTTTTTTTTTTTTATAAATTAATTTCCTTTTACGAAAAATCATTGTGGGGAGGGAAAAATATTGGTCCCTAGACTGAAATAAATCAATTTTACGCTGCACCGATTAAGATTGATAACATCCCACGTGTTTAGCAAAACGTACATATTATTGCAAAGTTATTGCGAGATAGGTATATTAAATATCAAGTATTAAAACAGATGAAATCTCTCTTTCTCTTTTACATACGTATACGTACATATGATCTTTTGGACGTATACATATGCATAATCGTACGTGATAATAAATCTCACTCAATAATAAATAATTATAATAGTAAAAGAAAAAGGAAGAGAGAGAAAATTCAGGTTAAAAAAAGATTTACTTTCTAGGATACAACGTTGGCACGATGTCATCGATTAGCTTGTAATTCCGGACGATCGTTAAATGCACGCCTAGTATCGCAATAAGTAGGTCAGTCCCGATAACGGATGAGTAATTCTTTACCGTAAACTCGCAGAGCATTATGGAGTTCCTCTGATCCATCGAGAAAACAAGTGAGACATGTCATGTCATCGTGTGTAATTTTGAAATACCTGTCATAATATTAATTATACATTATCGTTAAAGACGTCATCGCGAACACAGAAGTCATTCTCATATATCATCGTATACCATTGAAATCTCAACTTATTTTAACTAATCCGCTACATGATCTCGATAATAATACTTCGATATTTCAAATTAATTGCTGGGTCTTGCAATGAAAACAATTACTGTCTCAAATTGCCAAGATTTCGGAAATGTGTGTGTGTGTGTGTGTGTGTGTGTGTGTGTGTGTGTGTGTGTGTGTGTATTTACAGTTGAAAGTTGAAAACAATTAAAAACTCTACGTGTATATAATACTCTTTAAGAAAATGATTGATGCAGCCAAAAATCCAGAAAATCAGACAATTGGTCTTTCTTTTGTCTATTTTTAAATATAAATATAATTTTTTTAAAGAAAAAAACTCGTCAAATTATTAAATTTCTTGAATTTTCTTATCTATATCTGTCTTGATGTTATCCACATGTATGTTTCCCAGTTGAAACCAAATGATTTTCAAAGCAGGGAACAATGGAGAATGGAATCGAAACAAGAAGAGAGATCATCGACATGAAATGAACAAGGAAGAAAATTGAGCGAGTAAGCGAGCGAGAGAGAGAGAGAGAGAGATGAATCGATGACCGTTATACGCCGCATTGGCAGGCTACGGGACTGAAGAGTCCGGAAACCATAGCCGATCTTCAATGAGATACCCGACTATACATGCAGGTAGTTGGAGCTGTAGCAAGGTCACGGTCAGTATCACTCCGCTCTTCGTCGAGTAACATCATTTGGATGCTCCAGCTTCTCGTTTATCGATCAGTAGGTTCTATATCCGCGATCTGCTTGTATTTATCTATACTTTTCGGCGAAGTTTTATTTTATTTCAATACAAACACACGACGGAAAAATCATCTCAAATTTTTCACAGATCATCAAAGTTCTTTGCTGAATGTGTTTAGAGTGTAACAAATATAATATGTTCGCTTTGGTGTCAAACTTACGTATCGAAAACGCACGCAAGTAGATCGACTTTGGTAAAACCCGAAAAAGATTCCAAAGAAGGTAGGCGGAGATACGATTTGAGGCAAAATTATTATACGAATAAGCCTTTTAGTTTAGCAGAAGCGACTAAATTTATATTATAAATTTATTCTTTTGGGTATGACAATGCTAAATTTTTATTATACAATTGTTCTTTTTTTCTCTTAACTTTTCACCATATCTTTGCACCTGAAATTTAATTAAAATACATTTTTCATAATGTTATATAATATAATTTTGATGATTAAAGAATAAGATTATTTAACACACACACACACACGCGCGCGCGCGCGCGTGCGCGCGCATGTATGTTAAAAATCACATATTTATATTTTAAAAAAAGTAGATACTTAAGCTCTCTCTCTCTCTCTCTCTCTCTCTCTCTCTCTGATAAAATTATTAAGTTTATAGTATTGATAAGTTTAAAATATAGGTCTAAAATATCAAAGTTGTGACAACTTTGCAATATTTCCATTGTAACGATTCCATATTTACAAGGATTGTTAATAAGTAGAGATGAAGAATAGTTATCAGATTGTTACCCTATTTACATTCATGTAGTTGTTAAATATGCTGCTTTATATGCAGGATATTCCACAACTCGCCTTAATTTTATTCAGACTTTGTGAATCATTATGTCGATTTTTTTTCAATAAAAACATACGAAAAAAATCATTATTTATTATGCAATTCCTTTTTTTATATTATAATATTATATTTTATATCATATATTATATTTTTATAAATAAGTCAAATATATACATATATGAAATAAAATTTAATAAGAGAAATTTTTCTAACTAATATCTTTTGCTCTACGAATAAGACTTTTTTATTATTCGCGTTATCCAATCAATTTTCAGCCGTTGATTCAGAGAGAGTTGATCAGTTAGAAAACTTTATGTTATTAATATATATTCAAATAAAGACATTTAGATGTTATGTTTGGACATAATTTTGTTTCTTACGAAAGAAAAGCATTGCTTCTTCTAGCAGCAGAGAATTACATAGTGTATTCTAAGCGCGTGAATTTTAAGATACGCTGTATAAGCTTCTTTCCTCTTCTAAAAAAAATAAATAACAATAATGAATTTTTCATACAACATAGAAAATTTTTACATAAAATCTTGCAAAATTATAACGGAATGTGATTAAAACTTTTGAAACCGTGTTAATATTTAAGAATGTTGGAAACTTTTTTGGAGTTTGGAAACTCTGGAACGAATGTATACGTTCTCCGCTGTTTTTCGGGAAGGCAAATCAGTACTTTCGTTTTCGAATCATTCGTGTTAATTCATTCGTTTCGTATTTTCCTGTTAAGCAACTTTACATTTCTGCAATTTTTTTATTCTTATTTATAATTCAGTCTCTGGGTTTTTTCCTCTCTCTCTCTCTCTCTCTCTCTCTCTCTTTCTTATTGTGATTTAAGAGCTCTGTTAAACTGCTAATACGTTGACAATATGTATTACAACAATTTACAACAATAAGTCACATATATCATTACAACAGCTCCCAAAAAGAAATCATAGATTTTTTAAAAATAAACATGTATTTTATTTACAAACTTTCGATGTAATATAGATCCATCTGTTGTACCTGATATCGGTCATAATATTATCGAAAAATGATAAAGTGATGCGTTATTATCACTGGTCATTACTAGTAATTAATTTCTTTTAACTTTACAAAAAATGAAAAAATTTTGTTATTCGTTGTATTTCTATTGCTGTTTCTTTGATATATGTGTATAAAAAAAGATACATCAAATATGTGCTCTTACATCTTTCATTTTTTTTTAAATAGAAATCCATCAAATTATTATATATCAAGCTCACTTTTTTTATTACTTCTAAGAAAAAGAAAAAGATTTAACCGAGTGGTGTAATTGTCCATCTGCTCAGTGATATAATAAGAAAATAAATAGCACATAGTAAAATATTAGTAAATTTAAATTCGCGTATGTTATAAATTCCAGTTGTTCAGAAGAAGCATCGTCGGAAAATAAAATGGGCATTGAAAGCTTTCTGGCAGAGGGTTTAACTTCAGCATCCACTAGCGGATTTTCATTGCTCTTTCCAATTCTCGCCGCAACACTTGCTTATTTTCATTATGAAGCTTTGGACAATGAATCGCCGCCAATCGACATGCCCTCAGAGATGCTATTACCTTCGTACCATTTTATTATAATAGGTGGTGGAAGTGCAGGTACGTGTATACATATTCGAAAATCTCGTTATTTCGTAATAACAAACACACATATCTTTCCAAACATACAAGTAAATATCTTTCCTTTGTCACTTTTTTCTTTTTTTGCATTAGGAGCCGTAGTTGCTAGTCGTTTATCTGAAATCGAGGATTGGAATGTATTATTATTGGAAGCTGGCGGTGATGAAACGGAAATCTCGGACGTGCCTCTTTTCGCCGGTTATCTCCAACTGAGCCAGTTGGATTGGCAATACAAAACCGAGCCACAGGGTGATGCATGCCTAGCGATGGAGAATGGCCGTTGCAATTGGCCTCGTGGCAAAGTTCTCGGCGGCAGTAGCGTTCTCAATTACATGCTTTATTTACGTATGTAAAGCTGGCATATTGTTAATGAAAACTCGATCATTAATTATTCAGAGTTCTGGCTTTATTTTCAATAGTTAAACAATTTATTGCTACATTCAAACGAAATTTGATACATTTTTTACAAATGGTTCTGGTCATTAAAGTAAAACATTTTTTATGTAAGGAGGAAACCAACGAGATTACGACCTTTGGGAGCAGCAAGGTAATCCTGGTTGGGGTTCGCACGACGTCCTGCATTATTTTAAAAAATCGGAGGATAATAAAAATCCATATTTAGTTCGCACGCCGTATCACGCGAGCGGCGGATACTTAACGGTACAAGAAGCACCATGGCATACACCCCTAGCGGCGGCTTTCGTCCAGGCTGGACAAGAGATGGGCTATGAAAATCGCGATATCAACGGCAAATTTCAAACTGGCTTTATGATCGCCCAGGGTACAATTAGGCGTGGTAGTCGTTGTTCGAGTGCAAAAGCTTTTCTTCGACCGGCTAGACTTAGAAAGAATCTGCACGTGGCGATGCATGCGCATGCGACTAAAGTGCTGGTGCACCCCAAAACGAAACAAACTTACGGAGTAGAGTTCGTGAGGAATGACAAAGTCTTTCGTGTTCGTGCAACGAAAGAAGTGATCGTATCCGGCGGCGCTGTTAATTCACCGCAACTACTGATGTTATCAGGAATCGGACCAAAAGAACATTTGCGAGAGCTCGGTATTCCTGTGATTCAAGACAGCAGGGTTAGTGCAAGAATTTTCAATTTTTCCAAATCTCTCTCTCTCTCTCTCTCTCTTTTATCTTTATACGTTTGTGTCGTTACACCTTACTAAATAAAGTCAGACGTCATACGTCAGATAATTTTACAAATTAATCAAATTTTCAAGTTAATTTCAACAATCTCCATCTTATTTATTTTTTATACGATTTATTCCCGCGTCTCCAGGTGGGCAGTAATTTGCAAGACCATATTGGCCTTGGAGGACTCACGTTTATGGTTAATCAAGAGATATCTATGGTGGAAAAACGATTGCAGAGCGCCCAGACGGTGATGCAGTACGCTGCGCTAGGAGATGGACCCCTGACGGTGCTTGGCGGCGTCGAGGGTATCGCCTTCGTCAATACCAAATATGCGAATGCTTCGCTGGACTTTCCCGACATAGAGCTGCATTTCATTTCCGGCTCGACAAATTCAGACGGCGGTAGACAATTAAGAAAGGTACATGGATTAACAAAGCAGTTCTACGATGCTGTTTTCGGGCCGATTAATGACAAGGATACATGGAGTGTGATCCCCATGTTGCTACGACCAAAGAGTCGCGGCATAATCAAGTTGCGCAGTAAAAACCCGTTCGATTATCCTCTTATCTATGCAAATTATTTCAAAGAACCGCAGGACATCGCCACGTTAGTCGAGGGAGTTAAAATCAGCGTGGCCCTGAGCAGGACCGACGCTTTCAGGCGATTCGGAAGTGAACTCAACTCACAACAATTTCCAGGATGCGACCATATACCCATGTATACCGATCCATATTGGGAATGTATGATAAGATACTATAGTGCTACGATCTATCATCCTGTTGGTACCTGTAAGATGGGACCATTTTGGGATCCTGAGGCTGTCGTTGATCCACAGCTCCGGGTCTATGGCGTGACTGGATTGCGCGTTATAGATGCTAGTATTATGCCCAGCCTCGTGAGTGGAAACACAAATGCTCCGACGATTATGATCGGCGAGAAAGGGGCAGATATCATCAAGGAATATTGGTTAAAATGGAAAAGCAGATCCGAGGAAAAGATAGCTAATGAAAGATAAGACGAGTCCTCGCGCTCGTTTTCGTGACGACATGTGCGATAATACAAGAGCACTAGTGCCATTGACATGAAATGACTTATAAAAAAACTAGAAACTCTGGACTCTACTACATTTTTTATGAGCCATATTAAGTATAAAAATATCCGAACGTAAATTGTATATTTATAGCATATTTATGTACAGATCTAATAAATACGTTTTCAGAGAGAGAGAGAGAGAGAGAGAGAGAGAGAGAGAGAGAGAGAGAGAGAGAGAGAGAGCGTGCAGGGCGCGCGCGCGCGCGCGCGCGTGTGTGTGTGTGTGTGTGTGTGTGTGTGTGTGAGAAACATGCGCGAAGCCATATCTTCATCGTCGTGGGCCTCACTAGTGCTAAATAACACTACGTTCTAATAAGCATAACTCTTCGAAAACAAATTGTAGAGACCTTAACGAACTCGCGTTCCTCTCGTCTTAAAAACGAGCTCTCACTCGATTCCACATGCCATTTAATTAAAAGATTTTCGATCTCCCTTTCCTCTTCCCCTCGAAGGATATTAAAGTGGATGTTTTCAAAGTTAAATGATCTTTTACATTATATTTTTTTTTGCCATTATAATCATGTATATTTCAATCCAATATCTTGAACCGTTCAGAAATTATTTAGGTGGTTCTAAACTTTTGGCGGTCTCTGTATATGAATATAAAGTGCAACATAGTAATAGAAGCATGTAATGTAATTAAGATCGGAAGAGCAC